CTGTGGGCGATTTTGGAACCCCGCCGGGGCGGGTGCAGCTGGCGTTTGTGGTGATTGTGGCCCTTCTGTGTGTTGACGTTTGGGTACCCGCTGTTCCTTGAGTGCGTGCCCGACGCGAAGATCATGACGGATTCGAGGAACACGGTGGTGCTGAGCGGCGGCAGCCGCGTGGCATCGCGGACAGGACACCGACGGGACGGCAGCGGCTTTTTCAACGAGCCCGGTGCAGCGGCGGATCCGCCCGACGCGGACGAGGAGCACGCGGATCCGCACGGCCACGGCGGACGAGGGCTCGGCATCAAGGAGAAGGGCGTCCGCTTCGCAGACATGCTGGGGGTGCACCTGGGCGGCAAGAAGCGCGAGGGCAGCCAGAACTCAGGCGCGCCGCACGTGGAGCAATACGAGGGCGAGGGCGAGGGCGAGGGCAGAATCCAGCCTGGTCATCAGCAGCAAGACCAGCAGCCGCAGCCGCCTCGGTTGCAGACAGCAGCATCTCTTGCATGAGGAGGAGGAGGAGGAGGTGGAGGAGGAGGAGGAGGAGGAGAGGGCATGGAAGGGAGGCATTGATTGATCATGGGGCATGGGACAGCGAGCGATTTGATTTTGAGCCTCATTCTTCAAGGGACGCTTGGCTTGGACCTTGGAGGCAGCAGGGAGGGGGAACAGGAGTCGATTTACTGTTGCATTATATACCCGGAGCCGATGTTGCTCACAGTGGCAGCCCGGCAGCAGGCTGTCTGTAATGTAGTGTCTCGATAGGAATTAGACGCTACGCTCACCACTCTACGCTCACCACTGGTTGCTGTACGTAAGGGGGGACATGTGCTGTGAAGGTGGGGTGGAGTTGACATGTGGCTGTGTTGAAAGGGATGGATCGTATCGTGGCTGGTTGAATGCCTGTGGCCATTTTGGGGCAAATTGGATGAAGGTGCTCAGATGGGTGCTGTGGGGAGAGAAAAAAGGAATGAGGCACAGTGCCAGTGCCGGGCAGTGGCAGTCGCAGTCTGGGCCAACAACGATGCATGTGGTGAGGAAATGGAAGGGAAGGCAGGCACCTTTTTGGGAACCTCCTGACTTGTCAGCGACTTACCCATGTTCTGTTGTTCACTTGGACATCACCATTGGCCTCTCTCTCTCTCTCTCTCCCTCCCTCTCTCTCTCTCTCCTCCCCCCCCCCCCTTTCTCCTCCTCTCCTCTCCCGACATTGCTCTCTCCTCGCGCACCGTCGAGACGCTTCGGCTCCTGTCGCCTCGACGTCAATTGGACCCCCCCCGCGAGCCCTCCCTCCTACCGAGCCATCCGACCTATACTATACTTCCTCCCTCTTGTCTTGTCTGCACGACATCTGTCGAGATAGACAGACAGACAGACAGACGATCATTGCCTTCGAAGAACGACCACGACGACGGAAATACTCCCTCATGATCGCTCGCCGAGTTTGCGACTAGACCCTGCGCCTGAGCCTGAGCCTGAGCCTGAGCCCCGAGTCGGAGCTGAGCCGACTCGACTCGACTCGACTCGACCTCTTCTCCTCTCTCTCTCTCTCTCTCTCTCTCTCTCTCTCTCTCACACACACACACACACAAAAAGACACCATTTCGCATGGAGGATGCGCATACCGTTACCCCAAAACATCGCGGCCATGTCGGCCCACGCGCCCGCAAGGGGGGGGGCCAATCGTCCACATGGAATTCCTGCTGACGGGGGGGTCCGGTCTTCTTCCTTATTAGGGGGTTACCTTTTCCACGACGAATTCACTTCCAAGAACACCCGGTACCTCAAAGGGGGG